GAAACATGGACACCGACAGAGATAGCCCGGTTTTCAGGATGAACACCGTGACTGCTTCTATGGACATCAAGTACCTGAAGCCGGTGACGACACCAGGTGTAGTGCTCGCAGTGGGGCAGATCAAAGAAATCAAGGGCAAGAGGATCTATCTCAGAGCGGCCGTCAAAGACTACAAGGGAGTCGACCTTGCGACATGCGAGTCGCTCTGGGTTGCGATTCCGAGGCCGAAGATGTGAAGAATGGACTGGAGACTAGTAGGTTTTATAGAGCGAGCTGTCCTAGATGTTCATAAACTCTTCAACACTTCCCGTCAGTACAAGAACTTACTAGTGACTTGGCAAGTGAGCTCGTGGCAGCACGTTGTTCATATTGAAAAATCGGCATTCGTCGCGTTGTTGCGATCGAGGAAATAGAAAGAGGGGCAATATCAAACATGATTCTTCACTCAACACATTGCATTGCGCAAGACTTCTTCGTCTTCCGCGGACTTCTTCACGGAGTTATATGGGGTTTGACGCAAGGATGGACAGCTTTATGTGACAGGGATTGCTTTTGTATTATCTGTCTCACATCTAGAGAATAAACAGCTGACGTTTGACCATCAAGCTAGAAAGTGTCTTAAATTACTAAAATAATCTTTTGAACCAATGTTCTCGGCTTTAAAGAGAAGGCAGGATTCTCTTGTCGGTGAAAGCCCACAGAAGAGGGGAGTAGTCAGAGCACCAGGCGTTGCCGGTGTAGTAAGTGCTTCTCTTTCCCTGCAGAGCGTAAAGCTTCTTGTAGAAGCCAGCCTTGATGGCATCGGTGGAGACGTGGAGCTGCAGGTTGGAGTGCTCCTCCCATGCGCTGAACTCCGCGCCGCTGGTGGCAGTGGCACCAACAGAGGGGCCAATGCGGCTGACGGCACCAGTAACCAGGCTCTGAGCCGTGGCGGAATCAGGCTCGCCAATGACCTTGACGGTCTGGTATCCCGGAACGCCAACGGTCTCGAGGCGCCAGACAAAGGGCTTCTGGGGAAGGGCATCGGGGGCGGTGACATCGACGTTGACATAGTTGGTGAGATCGGGGAGGCCGGTCTTGGACACAACACCAACGTAGTAGGGTACATTCTCCCACTGGCTGAAGATGGAAGTCTCTTCCTCGTCGAGGTCTAAGGGCTTGAGGTTCTGAGTCGTGGGAGGGATAGTGACGAGAAGCTTCTTGGCCTTGATCAGCTTGCGGCCGGTGGCGGTCTTAACGACGGCCTTGACGCCGTCATCGGAACGCTGGGAAGCAACAACGGTGCTAGAGTAGAGAACATCGCCTCCAAGGAATTCTCCGGCCTTGTCGTAGACCTGCTGGTTTCCGCCGGGGGCGTAGAGGTAACCGGCGGAGAGACCAAGAAGATGGGGCTGGCCAAAGTTCTGAAGGACGTAGAGGGTAGGGGTCTCAAGAAGGTTTCCGACACCGTGGGCGAAGATCCAGACAACCTGGACAGACTCGGTCAGGTTGTACTTGGTGATGAACTGGCCGAAGGGCAACAGCAGGTCCTCAGGAACAGAGTCGGGGATATCGTAGGCGCCCTCGGCAAGGAAGGCGAAGTTCATTGTCGCAAACAGGTAGCTGGCAAGAGGTCCAACCAACTGGTTGGGGTCAACAGCAGTCGCGTTCGGGATGGCGAAGCCAGTCTTGAAGTCGACGATCTTGCTAGGGAAGGGGGACAGCGCAGAAGCGTTCAGAGCGACACCGAAGCGCTCGAAGAACTGCAGGGTCTGGTCGTTCTGAATGTAGGCCTGAACACCATAGTCGATGGACGCGCCAGTGGCAGGGTCGTGGAAGGTGTTCACGTGTCCACCGAGCTTGTCAGCACGCTCGACAACGGCGACGGTCTTGTTCTGGTCTCGGAGACGAACGGCGGCGTAAGTGCCGGTTGCTCCACCACCAACGATGAGAACATCACGCTGGATGATGTCCTCGGGTGCGAAGGCAGACTCATCGTAGCACCCAAGCGCAACAGGAGTGGCGCTGATTAAAGAAGCGCTCAATGCGCAAAGAGACAAAATAGAAGAACGCATCGTGATAGTTGGAACCGAGAACGAATGACTGTGACTAAAGGAGCGACTGGTGGGTTGCTATCCGAAAAGAACCACTCCTCCGAGCGATGGCGATTCTGAGTGCTATATACATGCTGCAACGGACAACGTGGGATGCCAACCCGAGCCCGACGCTGCGGTAACACGCCAAGTCCAGTGAAAAGAGAAGGTTTTGACTCGAATAGGCAATGAAGTCAAATTAATTAAGCGCGACTCATGGCAAACTGCCTACAGTTCGCTCGCTACCCCCTTGTCATTTGTTAGCATTCTTACCAAGGTCAGGCTTGCTCTCCAGCAAAGATCCGCGGTACGGCCAAAACGCACTACGGTCAAGCCGGATGAACGCCCCCAAACCGTCATGCCATGCTACGACCCAACATGCACAGAACCCGTAAAACCACATCCTGCTTACCTGGAAGAACGCATCTCGTGAGAAAGTATTCATTACGTGAAAGGGAGACGCAAAATCGAACATAAGACGCAGTCGGCCCCGAACCTCGGGAAACTCAACAGAGTGAAGGACGCCGGTGATGCCGTCGCGGCTCACTCGGCCAAATGGTGTAAAATGGGCGACAGGGATTATGTTTGCGTGATGTTGTTAAAGTTCACTGTCTTTAATTGCCCACTTCCAGTTCATGGAGACAACGTAACGGCCAAGAAACCGAGCTCTGGTTTTAGCTTAGGAGCAATAGGGGCTGAGCGAGACTTGCGCCTGGCGTCGGCCTCCAAAAGCCGGATACTTATGGGTGGCTGCGCCCGCTGCCGCCAGCGTCGGCTGGTCAAGGAATCACCTCCGCCGGCGCCGTTGTTCAACATTCCGCATTAACCGCAAGGCGATTGGATTCCCACTCCCAAGGCAAGGCACCGGATGTATCGATCCGCCACACTGATCGTCTACATTCTGCTTCCAGGTTTGTCGTCGTTTTTGCCAAGGGCTTTGCCCAAGGCACTCATGGAGCCCAAACTGTAGACGCAGACAGCGAGACAGCGAGTGCGACACCCTCGCGCGAGAAGTACTTCGGACATTGGCATCCCATTCGCAAGGCTTACGCACCCTTTTGTTTAAATGCCGGTGGATGATTTTTGAGTTTTGAAAACACGGATGGGCGGAGACGATCTGGAAATGCTTCATTTACTTTTGTTGCTCTCAAGTCGTTAGAGTAATGCCCTTTGAGATCACAAAACCGGCAATAGCCTCAACATTTGAAAATGAAAATCTGCCCGTGAACAATTGAGCTGGCGACTGAGCGTCCGAAAAGATCTGGAAACCACTGAAAAGCTAGTTGTTCATGCCGGGCAATACTGGAGTAGTTGCTCAGCAGTTAAACTAGAATCGCCGCCTCATTTACGATACTTTGAAGAGGAAGTATTGATTAAGCACATCTTCATTAACGTGCCTGAGTGAACTGCTACCGTCATTTGCTCATGTCCGTTCAACCACTAATTAGCGCGGAGGCGCCGTAATTTTTCCGCTCGGGACACTGCGTTCGCCGTCGCTGTGCATCTATCGGCGAGGTGCCGACGGGAACGCACTGTAACGTCGGATTCGGGAGCTGGGGCGTGAGTTGCGCTGCTTTTCTGAGCATCAACGTGCTTGTGCAATAGCCCCAAAGTCCAAGCTCATGACAGAGGCACATATGATTACGTCGTTCGTGGTTGCTGGGTATATTAACAATCACTTGGGTTGAGTTCGGCGTATTGGCTCCTGGATCTGGTGTTCTCGCATAGGTTTTGGTGGACACTTTGACGTACTCAAGGTGCTGTGCACCGCCTGATCCCCAATGGCGATCTCGGTTTCCAGTGGAATGGGACGATGGTCTGGAAGCCAGCAAGACAGTCCAGGCGTTGCGGTTCACTGGGGCATTAGACAGGGGCGGTCCCAGAACACTCAGGCAAGCTGCTGTCAGTAATTTTCCGAAAGTTAGCTAAGATTGGGGTTTCGTTAGCTGCCAAATCATTAGCGAGTTGACGCTTGGTGCGGCAAGTCAAGGTCTGCCTATTGCCGGACTGATTTGTGCGTCACAGTTGGATCTGACACCAGAATGCATGACTCGGCTAGGCTGGGCAGAACTTCGTACTGGATTCAGGGCTGATTTTAAGGCTTGTGGCCCGAGAATAAGTCCTGTGGAACAGAAGCCAGCCGAAAGTTCTTAACAAACAGGCAACATGCAGTGCATGCCTTGAAGGCTAGTTGAATGAGAGACTGTCTGGTTTATGAGCTCGATTCGCGTTCAACCCGTCAAGCTCCGCAAGCGAAAATACAAAGAACGACTATATGTACCTAGCTAGGAGCTAGTTTAGTCCGAATTAAGATCAAAGATCAAAATATCGTCTTTCCAAGTGTATGAAACTGCAAAGATTGTGGAGGTGACAGTTCAAATCGAGGGTTTCTAGCCAAGCCAGACCCAACTTTCTTTGGTGACAATTTCTGGGGGACTACCTCATGACCCAGCCTTTTAGTAACAGCCTTGCTTGTCAGCAACCGGGGCAACACAAAACGTTGATTGACGATGTCTTTTTGTCATCACAGGAAGCTTGAAGGTAAAATAATGGGCAAGACGTTGATGGGCAAGGCATTGAATAACGTTACAACACCTCGCTTCTTGACAAATCCTCATGAGGAGACCGTTGTCATCCACAAACTCCGCCAATGTCAAACCCCGCTAATTACTATATTACACTACTATTGCTTTGTTCTATGGATATAAGGCTTGTAGTTCTTCTGATCTGGTTATTGTTCTCAAAACTGCCACAAGTCAGATTACGATTACACTCATCAAAGCCTCGACATTCAGCAATCAATTAGTTGTGGCTGGAAGTAACCCCAAAGATTGGTAAGACATCCCGGAATCCGTGGCTCTTGTAAGAGAACCTTTCGTTGATGACCATTCGAGTATGAAAATTCCCGTTTACCATGGCAGTACATCGATGAATACTAGCGATGATATTGCCGGATATATTGACGCTGTTGGTCCTGATGTTACGGAGTTCAAGACCGGTGATCGAGTAGCTTCAATGCATCAACCTGGAGCAACCCACGGCGCCTATGCAGAGTACTCGACTAGCGGCGTGGAGACCACCTTCCACATCCCCCCAAAAACCAGCTTTGAGGAAGCTGCGACGATTCCATTGGCTGCATTGACGGCAGCCACGCTCGTCTTTCGTGGACTCAAGGTTCCTGAACCTTGGGCATTGAACGATAAACCTCAACGCCAGCCACTGGTTGTGTGGGGCGGCGCCTCTGCTGTTGGAGGTTTTGCGATCCAGTACGCCAAACGGGCCGGCTTCCAGCCCATCATAGCTGTTTCTGGGCGCGGTATGGAACAGACCCGAAGCCTTCTAGATGAAAGCTTTGGAGACGCAGTACTTGATTATCGGGCTGGAGGGCAATCCGTTGCCAGCAGTATCCGTGGTCTATTGAGAAGAGCCCCGCTACGGTATGCACTGGACGTTGTCTGCCAAGAAGACAGTTCCCAGACTCTGGCAGACCTTTTGTACCCCTCCTTGGCCGGAGAAACACCATCAAGCCTGATATTTGGTGTACCCTTGATGGAAACCCAACCGGATAAGCAGGGTCAAATCGTGCCTTTCGAAATGCCGCTTGGAACGGATCCAGCTTTCCTCCCGGTAAGCTTTGTCTATGAAAGTGACACTGGCCGTGATTTTGGCTTCGTGCATGGTAGGTACATAGGCAAAGGTCTGCAGGATGGCTGGCTGAAGCCCCATCCGTACATAGTTGTGCCAGGTGGCCTTGCTGGGATTGAGAGCTATGATAATGGCTTTTAGGGTTCTCTTACACAGCTTTTTGGCTTGTCTCGACAGATTCAGAGGAGAAAGCATAGGCCAATGACACAGGATCAAGCTCCGGTGTCCCCCTTTCTATCTATCTTGTTTGAACCCCCGATATCCGTCTTTGATTTTGCGTACGGTTTACTCGATTAGCCGATTTTCTCAGAAAAGACGATGTAATTTACTCAATCTTCTCTTCTTCCAACGGCACAAATCGCAGAAGGCACTTTTGTCCAAGGGGGCGAGCAGAAATAACTTGGTCGTGAGACCTCATGCTTTCGACCTTCATAGACATGTCCGGAACAGTGGTGAAACGGCCGTAAATATCCCTCAGTAATAATTTCATCTCAGCAAGAGCAAGACTAAAGAGAAAACTTATCATTAGTCTAGGCGCATCCCCGTGAAACATGATGGTCTAAGTACTCACTGCTTGCCAACGCAACCTCTACCGCCATGTGAGAATGCAAACATGTGCCGCTTTCTCTCAGCTTCGCCAGTAGGAGACATCCACCTCTCCGGGTTGAAGACGTCTGGATTCGGGAAGACGGCGTCGTTGTTTCGGTGGACCGAGTATGCCTGGCTGCTTACGATGCTGCCCTCAGATACGAAAAAGCCATCGATCTGCTTACCGCCATGTGGCACTACTCGAGGCAGAGACATGGGAATAGCCGGGAAGCATCTAAGTCCTTCTTGCACTACGGCGTCAAGGTACGACAGCTTGTCGAAAGAAACGTCGGGATTCTCTCGAATCTCGTTTTGGAGCTTCTTCTGAAACTCGAGGGATGATGGCTGTGAAAGCTCCCACATGAGAAAGCATAACGAATCTCCTGTCGTGTCGATGCCGGCGACCATATGATCCATGGATTCCGCTGCAATGTCCGTACTGTCAAGCTGATTGACGCTGCTGCTGCTCTCAGTCTTGTCTTGAAGCCGGTTCAAGAGAGTGAACGGTGCGGGATCGATCTTCGAGGTGGCGCCAATGACGAAGTTCTGGGCCAAAGGTGTGGTGCGCGGGTCAAGAAAAAGATCCAGAAGCTTCGAGAAGTATTGATAAAAGACAGGATAGTGGTGCTGGACGAGGCGACCTGGTCTGTGAGCATCGCAGCCGAGAGACAACCCGGGATAAGCTTACTTCGAAGGCTGTCGTCGCTGGTAACCTGATGCATCATGTCCAAATCTTCTTTCTTCTGGAGACTGTTGGTTCCATAGGGATGAAACAGGTGATGGGTAATACAGTCACAGGCATAAGCATGGAGGGAGATCTAATCATGGTTAAGAAGCCGTTCAGAACAGTTGGCACAAATTGATGGGTGAAACTCACGTAGACATCCATGCTGGTTTTGGTATGTTCACCGCACTGCCTAACAAATTCCTTGGCTCGCTTCTCGATGCCGCTGAGCGCTGTAGGCTTTACGACATTGCTGTTCGCGTAGCGATCAGCAATGATGCGCTTGCGCTTTGCATGCTATATCGGAGCTGTTAGCGAGAATTATCGAAACGAGATGATACACTAACGTCGCCCTTTTCCAGAGTCGAGAACATGGTCCTGCACAAAGTGAATCAGCTCGGAGTACTCGTCGATCAGCCAGCAGCATCGCCACATACCTGCGCTTGAACACCCGGAACAAATTGTAGAAGCTGGATTTGTCGTAGCCGCTTCCGAGAGACCCATAGATCTCCTTGACAGCCTCATATGACGTGAACGACACCTCATTGGGGGCGATGCGAACGACCGGCCCGTACTTGAGATGCAGAGAGTGGACATATAGCGTCCTCGTTGCATTGAACTCATTCCACCTAAGAGCAAGAGGCGTAATTCTGGACCAGAATGGTCCGGGAAGCTTCCATAATGGTGATGCGATGCAATGAGCCAAGTAAAACACGATCAATGCCGCGAAGGCAATCGACAAAAAAAGAGGGCTGAATAGCATGTTATGCTTGTTTGACTTGACGCCATTTGAGTCGAAAGAGCTAGATTATCACAGCTACTGGGGGGCGGAGAGGGGTACATATACCCAATATTCCCCGCGGGGTCGGACGCCTGGTAAAACGGGGCAGATAAGCCGGAGCCGATGAGACAAATCAAAATCTCTCTCAAAAAGTTGTTAACGATTCATTTTGAGTCATGTTTTGTTTACCCCGCTGGATTGGTTGAATTTCTTCCCCTAATGTTAAGAATTGGCGAATTCCGCTTCCTGGGCTTGAAAGCAAACTAGCCCATCGTCGGAGCGGCCCCGCAGTTGATCGCTAATGTTAAGAAGACCCGACGATACGGATCTGCCGAGTTCACGGATTGTCACAGTTCCCCTAATGTTAAGCGCAGCCGCAGGCCCACCTCCGAGTGTATCCACTCCGGGAAAGCCAACCTCCGGTTTGCTGTTTGAAATCAGGGCTTATCATTTGGCCTAGCCCTCTTTCAGTAAAAACTGCGCACGCCGTGCATTGTCGCAGACGAATGGATTGCATGCTAGCCCGGGGATAACTCGGGACGCAAGCAAGCACATGTTGGAAAGCATCAACAGTTATCAACAGTTGATTGTGACTCAATGACTCACGCACTTATTCGCCTATCTCTGCAATTAGATGCTTAAGTAGACATAAGGGCCACCAGGTCGTGTAATTACAAGAAAACATTAGATTCTCAAACATACTAAGGAAGTGAGATTGGAATAAGAAGCCGTCATTGAAATAAACCTTGAAAAAGAAGACTCTTGGAACCCTCGTGTTGAGCAAGTTCTTACTTCTTCTCATGGGCATTAGTCTTTTGTCTCCAAAACCCCGGTGATCTCTTCAGACCCAACTCTTCGTAAACCACGGACGGGTACATGAACATATGGTCCTCGTCCCAGTCGTTGTACCATTCATTTAGATCGTTGTAGTGTTGAACATAATTAGATGCGCGGACATATATCCAACCATTTGGCCCTTCGTCGTGGTCGATCATCCAGCCATCCTCATAATCTGGATGCACGTCATCGCCTTCTTTGAAACGAATAGGTTGCCACTCTCTCTTCAGCAGAAGGACCAACGGACCGGTGGATTTGCGTGTCTCGTCGACGGACTGTAAGCAAACGTCATCGATCACCATGCACACGTTATATCGAGAGCCATAAAACATCATCTGCTTCGGACTTGGCGGTCCTCCATACGGAAACAATCCCACCTCTGGTATTTCTGGCGTCTCTTTCCAGTTCTTTGCCAGTTCCTGTCTAGCCCAGGTGTCGAAATGGACCTTCACTTCGACTGGACTGACGCTATCGAGTCTTTGCTCATCTTCAATGAAAGTAACCTGATGACGTTTGCGTAGAGTCCGTCGAACATGGTGAAGCGGATGGTCGAGGGTATCTTGTATGCATGTTTCGATGTGTTGTCGCATTTTGCGCCATGAGATTTCGTCGCTGTAACAGGTGCGGTACACAGCAAATCCCCATGGTGCATTGGGCTTAAGCTCATCGTTTCCTATCTCGTAGCATATTGAATCGTAAGTTTCTACTTCGTTTCCTAGCATTGCTGCGAATTCTACCCAGTTATTCGGCCATTTGTTGGTTTCTTCGAACGGATATCGTGTGCAATAGTTTGCGGAACGTAAATCAGGGGTTCGAATACTAGCAGCCAGACACGCGGGCAAGGCTGCTTTTGCTTGGGCGTACCGATATCTTGACTTGAATAGCGTCTGCCATGTTCGTGAAGTGACGGGAACTTGAATGAAGGACATCTACCGATTGTGCTACAGCTTGTGATGGTGATGTCTTGATGATTTTGATGACAACTTGGAACGTTGTTGGCTAGAAAGATGATATTGGTGGCCCGTGCACCACCCCTGAATCCGATTAGACGCACGGTTCCAGTTCCTCGGCATGGCAACCCGGACCTCTGGGCCAACACCATTCCTGATCCCTCAACTAACTTCCCCAAGGTGTCTGTTGGCAACGGGCACTATGCATATTTCACACTTGGACTGTGAAGCACAAGAGAATTCTATTGGTGTCCCAGGATTAGATGAGATTATCAATCTCCTCAATGACATGGCCAAAGTTGTCCTTGGCTGGCCATGATAACCATGGGGATTTCAAAACTTTCACCGAACAAGCTTCAAGGCGCACCTTTCACAATTACAGCCCGGGCCAGACCGAAGGCTGCCACAGCCCATTCCACGTGGGCACGGGGAGATTACGGGTATTTATCCCGTTAAATCGCGCCATTGACTTTATATTCCGCACCGACACATCCGAATGTCACCGCCGAGCTTATCGGGTCAGATACAACGTGAAGAGACGGACATCACAGAGCCCGGCTCGCCGCGCCGATGCCGGCATGCCGTAATTTGCTATGGAATTTGACTCCTGCGTCCACCCGGAAAACAAGGGAATGAGACCAGCTGGTTTTAATGTTTTGCCAGAAAACCTTACAATGCTCCGGCTCTCTGGGAGCGGAAATCCCGGCCGAGGACGGAAAATCTCGCCTTTGGTGAGGGTCCGGCCTCGGGCCCCGGACGTATCATATTAGACGATTCATTGCACCATAGAACCTTGACATGCGACACCCCTGTCGTGACATTCCGATTGATACGAGGGCCACGCAAATGATGTATGTTTATTAGGGGTAACAAGTCTTAAAGAACGAAGTGTTGCCTTTCAGTATTCTGGTAGACCGAACTCGACAATTAGGGACGCGAGAGAGCATAGTGATTGATGGAATAACGATGGCGTCATTACCTCTGGAACTCATCGAGCATATATGCTCTCTACTGTGTCCTCACTGTCAACACCCTGGCATCTTTTCCGACATTGTTACGAACGACACGCGTTCGTCGCAAAAGGCCTTGGCCCACCTGTGTCGAGTTTCAAGGCGCATCTGTGCCGTGGCACAGCCATTCCTTTTTCATGAATATTTTACAGGAAATCTGCCGGCGGGAAATGACTGCGGACTGAGGGGGCATGCACGGTGTCTCCCCCGCGAAGACGACAAGTTACCAGCGTTTCTTCACAGTATCATCAGCCGTCCAGATCTATCCTTCCACGTTAAAACCCTTCAGATCGTGGAGACGGACGAAATTAGCGGGCTGACGCCGGATCTGAGCCCTTTGATCTTCACAGCGAGCCAAAAGGTCAGAGCATCACATCATGCTCCAACACACGAACATCTGAGAACCCATATTTGGCAAGAGTCGAGACAGCCAGAAGCGTTACAGAAGATCAACCGGCGAAAGGTGCATCACTGGCTGGAAGAACTCGCCATTCTCTTAACGCCCAACGTTGAGATGATCTCGATAGCTCGCGACAGCTTTTGTCAGTATCAACACATCAAAGACAGCGGGGCTTTATTGCCATCACTCAGGCTCATAACCCTTCGAGGAGTCACAAGAAATCAGCACGTGCACGAAGCAGCCGCCCTCTTCAAGGCCGCACCCAATCTTAAGGTCCTCAATTCCATGCGATGCAGCCTTTTTGACGGTCTCAGTCCATGGAATATGAGCAAACCATGGACATTGTCGCTGGTTAGTCTCAAGAGGCTGGTGCTAAGCGAGATCGGCTTTGAAGACCTTGCTCTGCTCCTAGCCTGCTGCCCAGAACTACGGGAGCTGGAACTGACGGCTGTCAACATCCATCGAACGGCGGGTATCGACTACTGGGATGTCTCCAAACTGTTGCAAACTTTGGTTCCCGTACGACATCAACTTCGGAAGCTCCGCCTCACCCACTCCCCGAGCCAACGGTCTGGCGCGGAACAGAGACAGTGGACGGATGATACATCCCTGTCATTTCGAGACTTTGTCCAGCTTGAAGAGTTGGCTTTCGACCAGACCATAATCGAGTACCACACGAAGGCTACGGCTTTTGACGGTGAGGCACCCCTGGGGTGCACAGTATCCGATATTTTGCCAACATCACTGCAAAAGCTACAGCTTTTGCACGTCAAGAAAGAATCTCTGAAGGATCTGAAGCACCTTTCCGAAAATGCCAGCTATCAATTACCGTCTCTGAAACTCATCCATATCAGTTTCGCAGACGGCATAGACAAGAGAGATGTCGGGTACAAACGCATAGATGACATCACGGTGGCGTTGCAATCGGCTGGCATGAGCGTGCTCTGGGACACGAACCATGTCAGCGAAAAGCCGTTAGAACCTATTCCAGGCGGCGTGACTGCACTTACGTCGATCCAAGTATCTTTAGCAACGGCGGGTATCGATAAATTAGCCTTGTAATGGCCCAATGGAACTTCTTGTGTAGTGTAGATAATCTCAAACAATCCGGAGGACGAAGTTGGCCGCATAATTTGGTCAACAAAATACAGGTCAAAATTTCAGTGAAGACACTTTGAAGAATATCTTCACTGATCGGTTACCGCCAGATTCCCCCTTGTCTGATCGCACCACGGGGCGCCGGAAAGGGTCCCAGACGAACATGTGTCGATGTCCCAGAACCTTGAGTTCGGTAACATTTTGATGCAGCTTGCACAGATCAAATCGGGCCGGAAAGCACAGCACTCTTCACCTCGAGACTGGGATAGAAATTGTACTAGCACATATTCAGTATCCCATCTCGCCTCTTGTTGACGCCGCAACTGAAAGGCCGCCGAGACCTCGCGAGGCAAACTATAGTGTAAGAGTTACAAGATGCGACAGGATGTTCCACGCACATATCCGTGTAACGGAAATTGCCAGCTCGGCCATTTGTTTGCTAAAGGTGCGTAGAAACATCATTGGACATGTAGCCAGCCGTGTCGAATGTTTCTCACCAGTCACCCGCCGGACATGCCCATAATGAGCGAGCCGAGCTATGGAACTGTCTTGTCGTCGGATATATTGTTCGACTTTTGTCTTAGATCAGCCCCATCAACAGCATGCAGCCATGATCCAGCAGTTTTGACACATGCGCATGGCGTTTCAACCGCAGAGAATAGCCGCCCCTTTCGAAACGGTCTCAAGACTTCGTTTCTCAGCATGTCGTCAACGGTCTTGTGAATGGGGGGACAGGCAGAGCTAGTGCTGAATAGGGTCGAGGGAGCGAGGGGGCAGCGTCAATTGAGAGACGTTAGTTGTTCTGGATCATTCCAGACGACGCCATTGGCTGCTAGCTTCCCGAGACATTCTGACTTTTCTACAGTGCTGGTGTGCCAGGGGCGCCAATGGCGCTGCCTCAGTCGGCGTCATGGTGGTGGTTGAAGCAATCGTGTCTGGTGGAAGCGCCGGAGGGCCACTGCAGAATCATAACCTACAGGCTGCGATTGAGGCGGCAGTGAGACGGCGTAAAGAGTCGTGGCATAGCACAGGGCAGGTTTCAAGTTGCACCTGTCCCCAGGCGGTTGCGACGCAAACATTGAGTGAGGCAGCCGCTCCTGGATCTGCGGGGGAGACTGTCTGGAGGTTGTCAATCTCAGCATCCGAGTGAGCAATAAGCACTCCAAAGCTACTGCGCGGTTTACCATGAATGATTACACGGCATCACTTGCTACATGCCTCAGGCGTGAACCGGTCAAACTGTAACGCAGTCCACGATCTGTGAGTCCCATCAGTGCATGCACCGCAGGTGTCGCCGCCATCTTGCCACGTGTAAACGATGAATTTTGACTATTCAATTGGGATTCAGCATCAATTAAAGGGTATTAATCCTCTCTTTTTGACTTCTTAATTTGCGTACAATAAGCTACAACACTCCGTGGTCTCAGGGATTATACCAGCAACTTGACCGATGCTTGGATGTAGTGTGTGATATGGTGGAGTGAGCTTACCGCTAGATGGTTCGTAGTGGAATGCAGCCTTGACATTGGATAGAAAGAAACAGGAGCTTGTCATGCAAACAGTCGTACATTGAGGAACACTACGACCCGAGGTAGTGTCCCAAGCTAACAGGGGTATTGAGATGGTACTTGTGTCCATGTAATACGGCGACCACAGTGCTGGAATTAATCCATCTGTTGGATGGTCTTCGGCATCGAGTCTTTCGTGCAACAAGATCTGGCAAGTATTGAGAAACTCTGTCCATGAGTATCCAGGCCCCGCTGGTGTCTGCCACCCTCACCGTCGGCACAGGTTCCGGGCCGCTCTCTAACTTTGGTCTGATTGACACAAGGTGAGTGGACTGGGGCAATTACCACTTAAAATGAAGTCCGTGGTAGCAGTGAAGATGAGATGCCTTCGAGAATCTCAGGGCGAAGGATATCTTTTGGGAAATAAACTTCACGAAGCACGTTGTTCAAGCACGCGTCTCGGCGAAAACCCCGATCCAAGGTAAGGGAATGAGGAAGCCGGAGCATATCGATCTCTGTCTTGGGTGGAAGACCCGAGAGTGGTCAAAATACCTCGGAGCTTCCGCGGGATGAGAAACAGAACACCTGATGGCCCAGGCGAGGAAAGTCGCTGTGTGAGGGGTAGCAGAGGGTAACTTGAGATCACCGACCGTTCCCTCGAAATAAGAATACGTACCCTTTTTTCTAATGAACTAGAAATCCTGTTGTTGATAAATTCCAGAAACGTTGTCATAGTTCGTGAACGCTGTCGTTAAGATTGCCATTGAAAGATCGGCAATCCATCTCGATCCTGCCATCGCCTGCATTCTTCAGCGCCAAGTTCGTGCGCAGAGATGCATAATTGCCGCGTTTGTTGTGGAAAGATATCAGACCAACTGATTGCAGCATCGTGCAGGAGCAGCCCCCCGGTGGGCTTGTTCGTGTAACCCCTAGCTCGAGGCTGTCTCACACCCTGACCCGTCTCTCACGTATCTTCTCTCTTTCAACCCTGTCTGTTCCCGTGTAACCCATTTGACAGCATGGATCGGGCATGACCAAGGGCCCGTCAATTACGAGATACTGATTGCGCCGAAGGACTGACAGCTGGCAGCGTTTTGCTATCATGCTGGGCTTCGTCAACCCATTTCTAACAGAAATCAATCCCCTGGACCAGGATTTCCAGCTCACGCTCCTGAGATTAAGCGGTGCAGTACACAAACAGCCACAATATCCGCAGTGACAGATAACAGGCGACCACTATCGCGTGTAGACGAGACTACCCAGACACGCGAGACACCGGCTGCCACCATCCATACTTCCATGCCCCAAGCCACTGGCTGTCTTGTGAAACTTCGACATGCCCGGCACTTTGCTACCCCCCAACCCTCACACTCCCCCTCCTCCAGAGCAGGGATCAGCTCGGTCAACTTCGATACTTGACAGAATCGCGAGGGTCGAAGTAGAGATCCAAGCAACCGAATGTCTCGGAGACCTGCGGGCTCATATTGCCCAGCACAACTACCGACATTGGTTTCCGACTCCAAGACCCCGGTCCTCGGCAACATCTTAACTAGGACTATGGGTTTAAGAATGACGGATGCATCTACTTCTACTATATAGCACGTCGACGTCCCGCTCCTTCACCAGGCAATCATCAACACGCTGAGAAAGTTGTTGCAATCCCCCTCCTTTCCGCTTCCCGGCCTGTGTTACAACTCAACCCGGAACTCTTGCAACCCTACAACTGGAGCTCGACGGTCAAGAACACCCGTCTTTCTGCTATGTTTGACCCCAAAGACCCCTCGATGTCGCCCATCATGGAGTCGCAATCATTCCCCAACTCCCGGGCATCCACCCTGACCCCAAGCAACGAGAGCATCTCCGATACGGAAAAGGAATCAGGCACTTCAAGCGCCGCAGCCTCAATTCAAGATTTCAAGATTTGGCGCATACCTCTACCTAAGACTACAGCAGCAGATTCCTCCTTGGATTCAACCTCGCTTAACAGAGGTGCCAAATCAAGCGATGAAGTAATACCCGATTACCCGACGGGGATGAAACTTGGATTGATAGTTTTGGCACTCTGCCTCAGTGTCTTTGTCATGGCCCTAGGTAAGTGATCTACGACCCAGGTCAGAAGATGAAATCGCTGAACAAGAACGTCAGATAATTCAATCATCGCGACTGCGATTCCGCGTATAACCGATGAATTCAATAGTTTGAACGACGTGGGTTGGTACGGAAGCGCATATCTCCTGACAACAGCGTCCTTCATGTTGCTCTTCGGCAAACTGTTCACCTTCTTCAGCATCAAATGGTTTTATCTCCTGGCCATCGCTTTCTTCGAGCTCGGTAGTCTGATATGTGGCACCGCTCCCAGCAGTATTGCGCTGGTTGTTGGTCGCGCTATTGCTGGTATTGGAGGAGCTGGCATCTATGTCGGATCGCTCATCATTCTCACATACAGCGTGCCGCTGGAGAAGCGCCCGATTTACACAAGTTTCGTCAGTAGCATGTGGGGGATCTCCAACGTCGCTGGGCCTCTCCTCGGTGGTCTGTTTACCGATAGCTTGTCATGGCGGTGGTGCTTTCTTGTGAATTTGCCCATCGTAAGTATCTTCTTTCCAGATGCGAATGATCTCTGCTGACAAGAAGAAGGGTGCTGTCACTGTTCTAGTGATCCTCGTTTTCTTCCCCGACTCTGTCCGAAAGGTCGCAAAAGAAGGCTGGCGCACGCGCTTGGTTCAAATGGATCCCATCGGCAACCTTCTCTTCATGCCAGCCATCATCTGTCTCCTACTTGCCTTGCACTGGGGCGGCGTCACGTACTCCTGGAAGTCATCACGAATCATTGCCCTTTTGTTCGTCTTCGGGGCAGCAATGGCATCCTTCATCTACATCCAATATCGCAATCAAGACAACGCCACGGTTCCTCCCCGCATCTTTAGGAAACGCAGCGTCTGGTCGTCGGCTTTCTATGCATTCAACCTGGGTGCTGCTTTTCTTCTATCCGTTTACTTCCTACCCATCTGGTTCCAGTCAGTCAAAGGCGCTTCTGCAGTCAACTCCGGCGTCATGAATCTTCCCATGCTTGGTGGCGTCGTCATCTTCTCCTTGGTCGCTGGAGCTCTTGTCACTCTATGGGGCTACTACACCCCGTGGATGATACTCGGTTCAATGCTCATGGCTATCGGCTATGGTTTGATCTCAACATTCAAGCCAGATACTCCTGCAGGCCTCTGGATCGGCTTTCAAATCATCGCAGGTACCGGCGTAGGCTTCGGCATGCAGCAGCCCCTGATGGCGGTACAGGTTGTCCTCGATGCGGCCGATGTTCCAACAGGAACTGCGATTATCATCTTCTCACAAACAATAGGCGGAGCTATTTTCGTCGCTATCGGTCAGATGGCATTTACCAACAAGCTCGTCGACAGTGTTCGAGAATACGTCCCAGGCATTGATCCGGCTACGGTCATCGCCTCAGGAGTGACGGCTGTACGGGAGAACCTTACCCCAGAGCTACTACGGGGGATATCCTACGCTTACAGTGATGCACTGGCACAGGCTTTTCTCGTTAGTGCCGTGACGGCATCAGTTACCATACTCGGAGCATTAATCGTGGAGTGGAAAAGCGTGAAGGGAAGGGATGTGCGGGCAAGCATCGCATGACAGGAGAATCGCGCCTCCTTTAGCAGTGTTTGTCGGCGGCATTATTATATTTAATGGGGCGTTGAGGACATTTGATTCCATAGCCAGGTTGATTTTGATTTTGTAGGTACGAACAGATCCAGTATGATCGCGTAAGCCTGCTTCTATCCCACGTGGCCATGTAAGCACTAAATGCAAGTCACGTCTGCATCTTTAATCTGACAAGAGCCTCAAATTTAGATGCAGAGCCCCATATTAACAACTTCAGACTACTTAGTTGCCATCCGCAATGCGAATGACCATCTTCTTTGCCCTCACCGTTCCCTCCTTTAGTCCCTTCAACGCTCCAGCAATGCCCTCGAGGCCGTTGACAACCTCATACGGGTGAGCCTTCATCCAGCCAGTTCTCAACCCTTCAGCAAACACCCTCGCCCAAATCAAGCCGAACAGCCGCCCCTGGCCTTCCTCTTCATGCACATGTCCGACGCTCGTGACAACAACCTCAACGCTCTTGTCGATCGCACCGTAGTCCCTTCCTGGCAAAACTGTAGTGACCCTCGGCTTGAACCCGGTACCCTCCTCTGGCGGTCCCTGAATAGCCTTTCCAAGCATCTCAAAGGAGCCATTTTCGCTAACGCAGTCGAAAGCCCTGTAACATCTTACTCCCGTCTTGCCAATAACTTCCTTCAACTTCTCCGCCAACTTATCTTGGCTCTCAAACTGGGTATAGTCCAAGAACACATCACCCGCACCCTCATCAAGAAGCCCGGTCACAAACTTGCTGTTCTTGCTGCCCACGGCAATTAGCGGGTGCACCCCAGCCTTCTTGGCAAGCTTCACACCGAAAGCTCCGATGGCAGAGCTGATGCCGTAGATGATGACAGGGCTCTTCTTCTCACGGCTGCGGTCCCAGGGCGAAGGCACCTCGAGCGAGTGGAACAGTGCAGTCGCGGCCGTGTACGCGGCCAACGGCACCGTCGCGGCCTCCTCGAAGGTGACACTCTTGGGAACATGGAAGGCGGCAAAGGCCGGGACAATGGCATACTCCGCAAAGCTGCCGTGCTCGGTGCGCATGACGTGGAAGCCGGCGACGCGGTCGCCCTTGGCGAATTCGTAGACCTCGGAGCCGACCTTCTCGATTACGCCCGCGACGTCATCGCCTGAATTGTGGGAGGTGCCGACCCAGGCGGGAAGCTTCCAGTCCTTCGGGTTGGTGCCTGATACGTGTCAGTGACTATTGTTCTGGGCCATGAATTGCGTGTGAGAGGTACCTGAGACAATGACCTTGATGAGAAGCTCACCCGGTCCCGGCTCCGGAACGGGCGAGTCCTTGATGTCGACGGTGATGTCTGGGTTGACGATAGCTTCCTTCATTTTGTGTATAGTGGTTGATTGTCTTTTACGGTATAGAACTGTACGAGATCGCCTTTTAAGACGGCGTTGAGGTCTGATAACGTTATGATACTTAAACACAAACCTGGCGTTGACGAAGTGACGTCAAGACTTGCCGGGATCCAGACCAAGACCCTTCTTTATACTTCTATACAAAAAACGCGGTTCCATTCTTCTCCACGGACCAGCGCACACTCTAAACCGTCTCAAGATGTTCTAAACCCATTCTCTTCCAATCAACTCCTTCCAAAACACTTGCCGCCTCGGCAAACAGACAAGAGGCCCGGGCGACCCGTTCATCAGGCCCCACCGCCCTTCACCATGCCGGGCCCCGCCCCGCGGTGATCGCACCATCACTTCAGATGAGGGGGGAAAACGTCAAGCGGATTACAAATCCAGAACCCATGTCTACTCTCAAAGACGGCCGAATGTTGGTAAACTCCGCAAGCGAAACTCCGCGATTGTGGGACCATGAATCCGAGGTGCATGCCGTGGTAGGCCTAGACCGGGTGCCATTGGAGTCTGCATGCCGGGACCCGGGACGGACCGTGATGTCTTGCTGCAGACAAGAATCGGGTCTTGCATCGGTAGAACTCCTCGGTTTCGCGATTGATCTTTACCGGGCATCTATGTCCGAGGGATCCGGTTGGCGACACTTTCTACGTCGATTCGTATTCGGACCCGAGCTCATCCTTGCAATCGGTAAATCGGCCTCTGTTCAACTCATTGTAGTCTCTAGGTATGAATTTGGAAGAAGTCCACATAGTCAAAGAAGCTCCTCTTGATCCATCTTCCCAAGTTCGGGTCGCTTCTGTTCACCCCCATCATGCCATACTGCTGCTCAAAGCTCCCAAACTCATTATTATCAATCCAGCTCCACGCCAGCGCCCCAATAACATTAACTCCATCCTCGTGAACAGCCCTCAGAGTCTCAGTGAGGAAGTTCTGATAGTACATCGTCCTCTCAAAGTCGTACCTCTGCGCGTCCACCGGCGTTTCTGTGTCCGCGTACTGCGGGAATCCGAACTCCGTGACCATGATGCCGGAGGGCTTGAATGTGTTCCACACGTATCCGAACTGCTCTCGCACATATGAGGGCGCGATGATGGCGCCACCCTCGGACACGGCGCCCATCTTCCAGCCATTGGCTTGTGTCGTGCTGAGTTCCACGCACGAGGGCCACAACGCATCGGAGGAGTTTGAAGCACAGGCGTCGTAGCCCCCGGCGGGATCCGTGGCGTACTGCGCTCCGTATGGGTCGAATGCCCAGAAGTCCATCGTGCCGTTGATGGTGGCGATCTGCTCGTCGGTCAGAGCAGTCAGCGTGATATCCGGCGTTCCCAAGACGGTTTCGGGGAACTGCTTTCCGAGGAATAGCGGGTTCGACATCACGCCGAGGATGAAGTCCTGGTATCGATACGCGGCATTCACATCGGCCTCGCTGCCAGGGTTGAGGGGCACGGCGAGGTTGTTTGCGAACTTCATCGTCAACTTTCCTGTTCCGCCCAGAGTTTCCTTGTACCAATGGTAGACTTCCGCATGTGCTAGAAGGAACGCCGTCAACCCGTTGTAGTTGTTGCCGAGGTAGAACTGGACTGCAATGTTGGGCTCATTGAAAGTGACCCAGTACGGTACTCTGTCAGCATAACGCGCCAGGACCTGCTTCGCATAATACGCGAAATGCTTCGGGAAAGTCTCAAAGTCATCGAACACGCCGACAGGGTTGTCAATGTGCATCAGCGTCGCGATGGGAGTGATGCCATACTCCAGGCATGTGTTGATCACATCATCGTAGTGATCCAGCGCCTGCTGATTGACCGGGGAGTCCGCAACTCCGAACGGAACGACACGGCTCCAGGAGATGGAGAAGGAGAAGTACGGCACCCCCAACGCGGCGAGGCGCGCGATGTCCTGCTTGTACAGGAAGTAGTGCATGTCCGCGACGTTGGAGTCGTTGGTTCCAAGGGTGCCCTGGCCGTTGACACCGGTCGAGTCAAGCAGCGCAGGGCCACGGCCCTCGAGCTGAAGTCCTCCTTCAACTTGCCATGCGCTTGCTGCCACGCCCCAGACGAAGTTCTCGGGGAACTTGAGGCCTTCATTCTCGTTGAGAGGTCTAGCAGGTAGTTGCGGAGGGAAGACTAGGTCGCTGGAGGGGACGGGCGTGGGCGAAGCAGTGGTGGTGAAGGGTGGCTCATGGGTGTAAGTGTAGTTTGACCAAAGAGCTATGTAGGCACTTTGTCCATAAGTCCCATCGTGGCTGGCTGTTGCTGATGGATTGAAGGAGTACGTAGTGTAAGTGACGTTGGTCGGTAAGAGGGTCGAGGCTTCGGTGAAGTGAGGCGCGTAAGGAGTGGCGATGGTCAGAGGAGACGGCAGTGGTGTCGGGTATCGGTCTGAGGTCATCTGCTCATAAGAGAAGGTGCTGTAAGACCATGTTGAGGCTGCTGTTGGCTGAGTCGTGAGAGATCCGGTGGACTCAAGGGCGGCGGCCGACACCCCGGCGACGAGGAAAGCCCCGGCGAGAAGTGCTGTCATCGCGGCGAAGGTGGTCAGAGCGACTTAGGAATTGCTGAAAACCTAACACAACTCGCGCCATTTTTGCTCAACACGATTCACTGTCTATGCTATATAGAACTTCTGAATGACAACAGCATCCACTTGATTCTACCGAGTTGTTGTCCCGTATGATGACCGGAAAACCCGACGTGGGATTGCTCATCTCCCCCGCCTCCACACTCCCCCGCACCGGGGGCCATACCCCAGGTTGCATTAGTCGTCTAGCGAGCAAATGGAATGAGGCAGAACTGGTGATCTAGATTAAAATATTGGATTCGGGGGCGACGTTAGCTCCGGCCCGTACTTCGGCTCGGAAAGGCTTCGACGAGCGGTGTTCTGGAAACGGCTTTGAGCAGCCAACGCCGCTCAAACGTAGAATGATAAAACCAGATTTTGTGTCTCCAAATCCGATTAAACACCATTCGTGCTTCATTGGTCAGTGAATGCATTGCTGCCGACCTGAGTGACTTTAAATGTTTCTTTCCTGTCTGGCCAAGACCGCAGACGAGCACAGCCGAGTCGTCTCTGGTCGTTGTGGTCTTTGCTCAGCACAGAAAAGTCCTGTTGATCGGTGGGTGAGGTCATCAATCGAACCGAGCCGATGGCCCTCCACGCCAAACATCTCGATTGAGGTCAGACCAACCGAAAATGAATTGTTATTGATGAAAGAATCGGCCCTTTGGTGGATACCTAGACCGCACCCCGCCCCGGAAAACCCTGGTACCCCCGAGCCTGGGAGCCGGGCAAGTCTGCCGACGAGACTTGTTGTCCTGCTAGGGGCGCAAAACAGATTTCATTCATCGCTCTCGGCTTTACAGACTGCGATGTGATAGCCAGCGCCGACTCATGAAATTGAGATTGCCGTTCACCGTGTCTGCTTCGACCGCTTACGGCCTGCTCTCTGAATTTGGGCCTGCATACTGGATCAGGTTCTGTGCGGCAAATACTCGCATCTGGAAACACCGGTGATATCCAACGTGAAAGTCGACCATATTCTTTGTGATTGGCATTGTTCGTCACAACTACAGGCTCCATGTTTGAAGGCCCAGCAGGCTGACATCAGCATTGGACGCTAGACTAGTCAAGAGGAAAGCGTGGCTGATGGCCTATTCCATAACACTTCCAACGCTCATTGCTAAGTGAAGAGGCAGCATCGTGCGATATCTGCCTGTATCAATGGGGTAACGATGCAGTGATACAGGCGCCACTTGTCAGGTCAGCGGCGATGGATTATGATGGAAGACGTCAAGAACACCTGACCAGGTAGTTCATACCTGTTGGCACTTGACGAAATGAAGCAAGAGGCGAAATCCCGTGGCAAATGCATTAGTATCAGTCCAAACACATGTCGGCTGCAAGAAGGCCCGTGGGAAGACATAGGAACTTGTTGCTAGGTGTTACCCCAAGGATTGCTTCTTCTGCTCTAAAATGTACACTTGCGCTCCCGTTCGTAACATGATCTTTTTTGGATTCATCAGAGATTTCACGGGTCAGCATCACCAGCCTGTCTCGCCTGTACTAATATTAGCATCATTCCATAGTCACCTCTTCCTGAAAAACCTACCCGCACAGCTCCGGCACCACCAAGCTCTCTGTCCAGTCCACCGGGGAACTCTCTCGGGTAGGAAGGCTTGTCGGGGTAGTTCAGGTAGACGACACCGCAGACACCGAGGAAAGCGGTGATGAAAGCACCGATCTGGAAAAGACCACGGCCGGTGGTAGTCCATGTGTACTCGAAGGGGGAGAACATGCCGAGCAGATCGTGGTCTTCGTGTACGGGCTCGCCGAAGTTGCGGCGCTCCTGCTTGTCCCACCAGTTGCCGTGGGGGTCACGGAACTGGCGCTTGATGAAAGGAGGGTTAATGTAGCCGCCGTTCTGCAGGATGGAGCGTTAGCCATCGTCATCAGCATCTTTCTTGCCCGCATCCTGTTGCAGATGCAGCCGCAAGCGCCGTTGCCATTGCAGGACCACCACTGACCATGTTGGGGTCCTCCTGCTCGGAAAGCTTCGGGTACTCGGGGTACTTCTCCTCAAGAACGCTGCGGTCGTTGAAGGAGGGCGGGAAGAAGGATCGTTGCTGGACAATGGGAGTTCGGCGGGCTGCCTGAGCAGCACCGCGGATCGTCGAGACCCGCGCAATTCGTTGGGACAGCATCTGCATGATGGCGGCGCGCACGTTAGCATGTGTCGTTCGGCGGAGTCAATTGGGCGTCAGAGAGAGCATACCGTGGCCGTAGTGGTGGTTCCGACGCGGCCCAATTGCTTGATCTTGGATGTGATGTCGTCGCAGGACACAACCGAAGCTTCAGTCGGTTGATGATTGACTGCCAAATCCCTCGATTGTGGTTGGCTGCAGCGAGGTCGACCTGCTGCCTGAGGCCAAACTCAAGGACGAACGCTGACTAAGGTGCAGGGGCCACGCAGGTGCATGGAAAGAAGTGGGTCATGAGTCGAGGGGTCACTCGAGCAGGTAAGAGCGGCCAGTAAGGTGCTGCACCTGCTGATTCGACTTTTCCAAGGGAGCAGCACCTTCAGAGTCGAGCAGCTGCGCAGCACCACTGTAGCAGGAGTCCGTCCCAAATTTCTCTTTTCGGCTAGCCCCAGGCAAGGCCGAGCTGCGTCTTTGGAAAAAATCCATCTTCAAACTTTTTTGCTGATGACGCTGGTTTTGCACACGATTTCCTTCGCAGCCGGCCACCAAGACGTGTCATCATGGTCAAAATTCGAACTAGAACTCATTGAGCATTGACAATTCCGTAGACATTAATATTGATGCGTCAGATGCCTTGTTCGTCGCGATCACGGCCTCAACTCGCGTCCGCCCCCCGTTGCTATTATGACCAAGACCGCGTCGCCCGAACCCGCGCATGCAACCCCCGAGGCCCTCGAGTCCCAACGCGACAATCAGATCGCGTCAGCCTTTCAGGATGATTCCGATCCTCCCTCATCTCCGCTCGAGTCCCTGGGATCCGACGATTTCAGGGACCAACTGACGCCCAACGGTGTTGACTTCATCGGCTTTGGCCCACCTTCACCCGCCGCGCCGGCATCGCCATCATCATCATCTTCGCCATCGCCTGTTCCTCCTACGCCCCCGCCCGCTCCCGCGTCTCCCGATGACGACGACGAGCGTCCCTCGAAACGACGCCGGACAACCGAAGCCACGCCCCCAAACTCGGCAGGAAAGAAGAAACAAATCTCCCCACCGTGGAAGAAAGCTGGCGCCGACGGCCCGACCTCCTACACCGAGAACGGTAGACGCAAGTCTGGCCGCATCAACACCTTGCCTCTCGAATTCCATCCTCCATCGAACAAGCGAACAACACGAGGAGCTCTCAATAGCAGTCCACCTTCCAAGAACAAGTATGCCTCTACAAACGGCCATGCGACCCCGACACCGGCGTCCGCCGGAGCTTCCAAACCTCCCTCGCGAAAGTCTACAGCCGCCAAGCCCGCCCCCCTGAACCTCAAGAAGTCGAACAGAAAGTCCATCTCGAACGAAGCCAAGGCACCTGCGCGATCAACACGCAAACGATCCCCCTCGCCACCATCCCAGCCAACGAGACAATCTACAAGGCCACGGCGTGGCCGTCGCAGCTCGATCGAGGACCTCCCCACCACGACGTCGACGAGCCCCAACCGCACACGAATCAAGCTGCGCGTAACACGGTCAACTGAGCTGCCCATTGTCCATCCCGGACAGGTTCATAAGCGGCTGAAGATCGGTCCTACATTCGAGGAATACTGGGAGAAGGCACAGACGATACATGTGGACGAGGGAGGTATATACCTGCCAGAAGATGGGCCAGCCTACACCGATGAGATGGCCAAGAGGGATGCCCAAATCGTCTTGCGGGTAGAAGCGGCGGTGGAACCTGGCGGAATCCTTTCTCAAGAGCGATGCTCTATCTTCGTACCCGAAGCTGAGGAAGAGCCTCCGCGCCAATGGGCCCGTCGTGACCACATGGTCAAGGCCATGGCGAACTTCCGAAGGCTGATGCTACAAGAGCAGCAGAGACATCGCGCACAGGCCAAGAAGATTGCTGAGGCTTGCCGAGACGCTTGGCTCCGACGCCAACCCAAGTCGGCCGAGGAGCTTGAGGCAGAAGCAAGAGACGTATGGATTGGTCGATACAGGATTGTAGTCAAGAGCATGTCTGGCACATGGGAGAGCGTGCGATTCGAGGTCAACAGACGACGCGTCCAGGAATGGGAGGCCGAGGAGGCGCGCAGAATCAAAGCTGCGCTACAGGACGCTGTTGACCTTTCCGAGCAGAAGCTTCTGGCGCGCCAGGCCCCAGCAGACTCCGATGTATCTGACGAAGACGGTCTTCCCGACGACGACGACAACGAACTCGAGGGCCTTGATAGCGACGCGGAGAACAGCCACGCCTCGTCAGTGGACGCCGATGACGATGATTCCGGTGACGAGGACGACGATGTCATGTCATCATCGGACGAGGACGAAGCGGGCGAGGAGCACACTGGTGACGCTGGTGACGAGAAACTTACTCAAGAACAACTCCGCGCGAAGTATGCCAATCTGCCCGACTTGTCTGCGGAGGAGCCCGCCGAGAAGCTCGTCAACGGGGTGGACTCGGGGGCAGACGTGAAGACAGGACCAACAAGTCCTGCCGAAGACGACACCTCTGATGAATCGGTTGACATGGATGATGATCTTGGATCAACGGATATGGACGATAGCGACGATTTATCCGATGGGGAGCAGGGTTCCGGAGAGGAGAGTGAAGATGAAGAACCTGCTGGCTTGCTTGGCATGCTCTTTGGCAAATCCGATCTGAAGAAGATGAAGGACGACGCACCAGATGACGAAGAGTCCACGAAGAACAATGCACCTGTAGTGGAAACATTTGCTGCACAAGGCGAGGCATCCGCGCTATTCAGGGATGAGGCGGTCGATGACGAAGATGAGGTTTCTTTGATTCAGCACCCCGGCATATTTGTTGATGAGGATGAGATGGATGTCGACAAGACCATGCAGGAGAACGAAGTAGCTCCGGCCACTGAATTTGAAGGAGGCTTACCGACAGAGACTGGCGTGGCAGAACCGGAGGACAAGCCCATCGCGTCTTCACCAAAGGCTGACAAGGAGATGGTTAATGGCGTGGACCCCGCCCCTTCGACGACGAACACCACCGACCCCCCTATTGCCGATCCTGTGAAGGAAGTCGATACTCCACATGGGGACATTGAGATGGAAGACGCGTCGTCAAAACTCGATGCACCAGAAACTGCCATCGCTCCTGATTCAGAGGCTCCATCCAAACACGCGAGCCCTGACACCGACGTCGTTACTGTGCCGCCTAGCCCGGAACAGAGTCATTCGCCCCCGACGTCCGATACTAAGCCTTCCGAAGTAGACACCATGTCTCTGGCAACGCCTGGGGTGAAAGACATTGTCAGCCGCTCGGCAACGCCAGCAACGCCCGCCACACCGCAAGCCACGAAAACGGAAATTCCATTCCTTCTTCGCGGCACCTTGCGCGCGTATCAGCATGACGGATTGGATTGGCTTTCGGGTCTGTACGCCAACAATACTAATGGTATTCTTGCAGATGAGATGGGTCTGGGAAAAACAATCCAAACCATTTCATTGCTGGCCCATCTCGCTTGCCATCATGAGGTGTGGGGACCCCATCTTGTCGTCGTGCCCACGAGTGTCATGCTCAACTGGGAAATGGAGTTCAAGAAGTGGTGCCCTGGCTTCAGGATTCTTTCCTACTACGGAACCATTGAGGAAAGAAAAAGGAAGCGCCAAGGATGGAATAGTGACGATGTTTGGAACGTGTGCATCACTTCCTACCAGCTGGTCCTTCAAGATGTGCAAGTCTTTAAACGTCGGAAGTGGCACTACATGATTCTTGACGAAGCACACAACATCAAGAACTTCAAGTCACAACGTTGGCGCAACCTGCTTGGATTCAACACGCATTCTCGGTTGTTGCTCACGGGCACCCCTTTGCAGAACAACTTGACCGAGTTATGGTCGTTGCTGTTCTTCCTGATGCCCGCCGAGAATGGTGCAGGCGGATTTGCTGACTTGCATGAATTCCAAGACTGGTTTCGCAAACCAGAGTCGCAGATTCTGGAGCAGGGCCGGGATACCATGGACGAGGAGGGCCGCGCCATCATCGCCAAGTTGCACAAAGTACTGCGGCCTTACCTGCTTCGAAGACTCAAGGCGGATGTTGAGAAACAAATGCCTGCGAAGCACGAGCACGTCGAGTTTTGCCGGTTATCCAAGCGGCAGCGCGAATTGTACGATGGATTCTTGGCTCGTAGCGATACGCGCGATACGCTGTCGTCAGGCAACTATCTGTCCATTATCAACTGCCTCATGCAGCTGCGAAAGGTCTGCAATCATCCCGATCTTTTCGTGGACCGGCCCATCATGACATCTTTCCGGATGCAGAAGTCGGTGCCAGCGGAGTACTCGACTACAGAATCGTTCCTTCAGCGGTCACTGCTGAAGGTTGAGCCCATGTCTGTGGTCAGTCTTGGGGTGCTGAACATGATTCCCACGCAGTTCGAGACCATGTCCAACACGATCGCCGAAAGGATCTCACAACTGAGTCTACACAGGGCGTTGATGGAGCTTCGTGAAGCTCAGAACGCCAGAGCCCACCTTGCTCGCACAAATCTTGACCCATCAACCGTCGAGTCAAACATCGTCTATCTCGACAGCTTAGCTAGATGGCGTCGCTTCGAAGAGTTGCAACACAGTGTCTACCTGAACGCTCTTCGCGGCCAGCGTCGACCCATCTATGGCAAGCGTCTGGTTGACTTCCTCACTCTTGGGTTGGACCAGAGGCCGAGAAAACCTCGCCCAAAAGTTCCTACTGAGATTCTCAACTGGTTTGCCGAGGATTCAGACTTCCTTCGGGCAGTCATCCGCACCTCGGATGATCGTGCGGACTCGTTCCAGACCACGATTCAGAAGTTCGCTTGCGTCACTCCCGCTGTCATCAGTCGCGACATGAACGAAGTCATCTTAGGTCGGAAAGCTGCGAATGCATTCACCGACGAGGACTTGAAGCTATCTGCACCAGTTCGATGGGCTCCCTTCATACCCAAGCAGGCTCCCATCGACCCCTGGCACGAAGCCCGTATGCGCCTGAGCATTCAGTTCCCCGATAAGAGGCTGCTCCAATACGACTGTGGAAAACTTCAAGCTTTGGATAAACTGCTGCGTAAGCTTCAAGCGGGCGGTCACCGTGCCCTCATCTTCACACAGATGACCAGAGTATTGGATATCCTCGAGCAGTTCCTCAACATCCATGGCCACAAGTATCTACGTCTAGATGGTGCCACCAAAGTTGAGCAGCGCCAAATTCTTACCGATCGGTTCAACCACGACGAGAGGATTTTGTGCTTCATTCTATCCACCCGTTCTGGTGGTTTGGGAATCAACCTTACCGGCGCTGACACCGTCATCTTCTACGACCAAGACTGGAACCCCGCTATGGACAAGCAATGCCAAGACAGATGCCACCGTATCGGACAAACGCGTGACGTACACATCTACCGACTTGTCAGCGAACATACTATCGAAGCCAATATCCTTCGCAAAGCATCACAAAAGCAAATGCTAGACGATGTCGTTATTCAGGAAGGAAGCTTCACAACAGATTACTTCAATAAGCTCTCCGTCCGCGATGTGCTTGGTGCCGAGGGCAACGACCTGGTCGACGATGCCGCTAATGCCGCCATGGACCGTCTCCTCGGTGGAGTCGACAGCGGTAGCTCACGCAACGCTGGCGAGGAACTTAAGCAGGCCGAAGATCAGGAAGACGTGGAAGCTGCTAAGGCTGCCGAGAAGGAAATTCAAGAGGATGAAGCCGACTTCAACGAAAAGAGCGCCGCACCCTCCGGGGCCTCAAGCACTCGGCAAGGCACGCCCCGCGACGAAGGCCCCAACGAGCAAAACGGACCCGGCCCCTCCGGCCTCGGTCGCTTCTCCGAGTCTGTCGCACCAGATGAAGACATCGAACACAACGCATGGGGCGAGCGTATTTATAATATTGACGACTACATGCTCCGCACGATGGCGGAGCAACTCAAGGGCACGGCATTGGACTTGCCCAAAGATAAGAAGAAGAGCAAGAAGAAGGGTAGAGATACGCGCAAACGGTAGGCGCGCGAACGAAAACCAAGTTTGTTTAAGGGCGTCTGGTGTGACATTGATACTATCATCACATTCGCGTTTTGTGGTTTTCTTGTATTATAACGAAAAAAGGCATTGGGACATAAGATGGTCAGTGTAGACCTAGCATGTACATTGGTACCGGCGTGGATGCGGCATGGAGTTTTGAGGAATGGATGCCCGAGTGCGGGACATAAGACGACGAACAAAATAAGAGAATCTCCAAGCAGGATTATTGCCCTGTGTGATTTCATTGCGGTTCCGCCCGTGGCCAGAGGGATCTACTGAGCTGGCTGTATACCAACTAGGTCGCCATCATTTGATCGGCCAAGGAAGACCAGATGTGCTGCTTAGTATGTCCGATTGCGGCGAACGTTCTGCTCTGAAACTTCCGCCCGGACAGTACTTATCCAAGATACCTCCGTGGAAAGCAGTCTTGTTTCAATATCAAAATCTTCACCTGTCGACTTGCCTTGTCTAACCAACCCGGGGGAAATGGTCACCCACATACCATCCATCTGGGCGTCCCAAGATTCCCCGCTTACCAAGGTCATTGAAGTACTCTCGAATGCCTTTTGGGATTTGGCAAAGGTCCAACCCAAGCGAACAGCTTGCCTTTTCATGGATTCGTCGAGCATTGCAGCTTCTTGGAGGATATCGAGGATCTCCTCACGGAGGCCTTGGGTATGTCTTGTGAGCGGCATCACGTGTTTGCAAACGTAATTGCAAACAGAGTTGATCTTTTCCGACAACGATTGGTTGCATCTCTCCCGTTCACTCCTGGACGAGTTGATGGACTCAAGGATTAATGCTGCTGTCTCGGCTCTCCACCGACAAAACCTTCGGCATGCCTCGATGTCAGAGTCACTACCTTCATTTCTTTCTGTTCAGTGTCAGCAAGAACATTGGGTTGCTCCAGAATTATAGGCATGCTCTGAGTGCAATTAAGTAGCATACCTGGTGTTTGGAAGTGATCAGACAGGCTTTTGAACGCGGACCTTTTCTGTCCGGCCCAGAGCGCCTCGCCAAAAATATCATAGTAGACTATGTCCCAAATAAGAGCCTGAATGATGTAAGACCGCCGTCTGTCGGACTCAATATAGGCAATCGTGATATCTCGCCCCCCGATGAATTTGGACAATGTTCTCCATCCCTTAGAATCCCTGGAGTCTACTGTCCTCTCAACACTGGTTTCTCTTGGCAGCCTGCCACCAAAGTACTGAATTGCAAACCGGCTGATGTTGTACCGGAGCCTCGTCACAGAATCCTTGAGCTCGCTGTCCGTCATATGATAAATGCCTCTTTGTTGCGACGACTTCATTTGGTCGAGGTCGGTGGCTGCTTCCTTCCATTTCTTTCGGACAGCGACAAGAGATGCCTCTGAATCTTTTAATTTGATTTCGGATTCCGCTAGCCGGCGATCTTTCGCCTCCAGCTCGGCCTCAACATCCTTTCGGCGCGAAATCTCTCGGTCGTATTCTTGCTTCGCCACAGTCTCGTGACTGGGTATCTGACTTTCACTTTGGCCAGTGTACGGAGTAGTATTCCTCTTTGGCGTGTGTGGTGGCATCTAATATTTCTTCTCTTAGCATATTGAGCTTCCAGAGCTAGGTTATGCTCCATGCTTTAGGGTGAATTTGATACTTACAGAAGCCGCCCGAATAAGTGTGGGAGGTGCGCCGCCAAACGGCTCAGGAGACTGCTCTTTCCCGACATGAAAGCTTGAAGAACCCTTGGCAGATTTGTGTGAGTTCTGAGGATGGTTCTGAGGTGAGAGGAGATGGCGACTGGCGCTGGGTTTGGGCTGTATCTCAGCTTGGTCCATGCTAACCATCTGAGGTCGTTGAATGCTTCCAACAGGTTCACGTAAAAGATTGCTCGTGTAGAAGATGAAACCACTGTCCAAGAGGCGCCGAAGAATGTGAAGGTCTGAAAAAGCTACAAGCTGCAAAATTCTGGACAACCACTACAGGATGAGGCAGGCTGCATCAGTTGCAGCCTGCACAGTGTCAGCGCCACCTGACTTTGGTCTGCAAGTAGATATACAAGCTGTGCCTCTCAGGTGCCAAGTACCAAATGTCCAGCCTGCTTTCCCGTGAAACATGAACCGTAAGCAGCATGCCCGAAAATACCCGAGCCTTGTCTTTGTATCAGAGAAGTGTACGCGTGATGGATACAGTAATCGTGGGGGCTGGATTACGCGGTTACGCGATTCAGCCTTTGGGCGTTGTCTTTGCTGTAAGAGCGTGGCACAATACAGGCTGTGCGGAGGCTTCCCGTAAATCACTCACATCCTCAGAATATTCCATCCAACCAGTATCAGACAGTCACGAACAGAGAGCGAAGCTATAAAAGATTCACATCATATGCCATGGACAGCAGCTGAAGTGCTGATCCTGGAGGCCGCGAAATGCAATGAGGCTGTGGTCCGTCGAAGCTAGGTCCACATTCTCATATGGGAGTGATCAGAAATGGACAACCTTACATGGGGAAGTAACTGCTCCGGGGAAGGCTTACAGCCAACGTGAATCTTCAAAGGCAACAGAGGCCATCAGTTTGTGGCTCCATCCAACCAGGCTCCATGCAATACACGTTCTCCGCGAAACGCTCTCCTTTGCACCGGCATGGGCTCGATTCTTGATCCTCCTATCAAAATCCAACCTCTTAGAAGCAGTCTCATTCACAAACGAAACAATCATATCTCTGCAAACTAAGGTTTGTCTTTCGTCTTGTCGATGCTATGCTGATTCATAATTGGCAGGCTGGCCTGTGGTTAAGAGTCTGTTGGCTACATCCTGATGTGCCAGCCTGACGCGTGCACCCTTTAGCTTCGTCGCATTGCACAGCCCTTGAACAGGGAGCAAGATGTTCCACGGCGGTAAGTCATCTATCTGCGTTATCTAGACTCCTCATTCAGTAGTGATTCAATAGTCCTCGTGCCAGGCGTAGTTCTGTACTCCCCCCGGAGGCAGCCTTCCAGGGTTCTGAGTACATGTGGCCGGTCTGTCGGGACCGTCTTCAATTATCGTAAAGTGCACCTTCGGCAGCCAACTATGAAGGGGGCTATGGTAGTCGCCAGCCTTGTTGGTAGCCACACCCTGCCCACACACACACACACACACACACACACACACACACACACACACACACCATTCCTTTGCGAGCTGAAGTTCCATGTGTCTCCTGCCTCATGAAGTGCATGTCAATGCTAAAAATGTGCCCTTCTGCCACATCTTCGTCATACAGTGCGACGTCTCATACGCTATCAAAGTTGGACTATTACGAGGTATCGCTTGTTCGCGTCTCAGCAGGATGGCCAGCCAAGAGCACTCCGAGGTCGTTGATATGCCTCGGGTCCCTTCCAGGCGTCCTGTCGATAATCATGGTCCGCGACCCATCCTCAACGACCAGGCTTCCGTACCTGGATATAGGAATGTTCAGAGGCCAATCCACGTACATAAATTACAATTCGTCTGCGCATTTCTTCCTTTGGCCTTTGGACCGCTTACGATCTCAGACATTTACTTTGAGACTTAAGATTCCGACTAGCTCTGTCCTGACAGACTAGGATCGCCACATTCTTACCTGCGTGTTGGCTGGCTCTTCCAGTCTAACGCGGGGTGTCTTTGCTCAACTTTCGGTTTAATTGGTGTATACTTAGCCATGACACAGAAAACTTGTACCCTGGAGCGACCCAGCGTGGAACGCCGCAGTGCAAATCCAGCCCGAAGATCTGTCCGAGATATTATTGGCGACACGCACACTAATTACAACAACGGCAATAGTGGCAGTGATACAGGCATGTTTGGAGATGATAAGAAAGACGACGTTCTTGTCATTGGAATTGACTTCGGGACCACGTAAGACCAACGAAGCTACGAAAGGACCCTGGAGTGTCTGGTTGTTGTCCTACTACTAACTCGCGCAAGATTCTCTGGAGTTGCATGGTCTACTGCAGCAGACTTTGCGAGGAATGAAATTAATCTTGTCACCAGCTGGCCAGGCAGCGAGTGGCAAGAGGCCAAGGCCCCCACGCAGCTATTCTACGAGGATGGCCAAGTCATGTGGGGATACGACATTCCCCTAGATGCAGACCCGGTACGATGGTTCAAGCTCCTTCTGGTGAAAGAAGAAGATTTGCCCAAAGAGCTTCGAAACTCAGAGCCCCTTGTTCACGCACGCAAGTTTGTGGAGGAGACTGAGAAGAAGCCAGTTGAGCTCATTGCCGATTATCTACGGGCTTTGTTTGAGCATACCTTGTATGTTATCCGAAAGGCGCGAGGACCGTCAGTTTTAGACGCTTTACGCTTCCATGTTGTCATCACAGTCCCCGCCATCTGGCAGGATTATGCCAGACGAGACATGGAACAAGCTGCAGAGATGGCTGGGGTCATGGATTCTCGTCCAGCTGGGCAGACAAAACTCACTTTTGCACCGGAGCCGGAAGCAGCAGCTCTCTCAACTCTGTATGAGTTGGGCAGAAACCTGAACAAAGGAGACGTCTTCGTCATATGCGATGCAGGCGGCGGCACCGTGGTACGTATCTAAGTTTATCTTGGTTCTCGCCTATCGAGTCTGGAACATGAAGCTAAACTAGGGAAGGATCTCATTAGTTATGAGGTAACGAATAGCAAGCCTCTTGCTATTGAAGAAGTCGGCGAGGGTACCGGTAAGATACTGTAGCTGCCTAGAAAACCTGTTAGACACTGACCATAACCTTTTTAAGGCGGCCTACACGGCGGCGTCTTCATTGACAAGGCTTTTGAGAAGGCTTGCAGAGACCGGCTTGGGAGAAAGTGGGGTCGACTCAGTCCAGCTGTCATCAAGGAATTCATGAAAAAGGAATGGGAGGTGGCAATCAAGTCCAAGTTCAAGCCTGACGCAAGGCGCAGTAAGAAGGAGTACATCGTGGGATTACCACCAGAGGCCTCCAGAACAACGCCAGAGAGTTTCGACGACCCGAACAGGCAGCCACTGATCAAGAATGGAAGAATTCATTTTCAACAGTGAGTTTCGCCACTTCAAGTATGCATGCAATTCCCTAGAGCTGCACAGCTAATAGTCATACCGCAGATCCCACATCAAGGGAATGTTCGCAGGATCTTTCAATGGAATCGACAAACTAGTCAATGCTCAGATCAGTATGGCTCTCAAGAAGAAATCGAAGGTGACGGTAGGTAGAATATGGCATACCGTATGACTTCAATCGCGCTAACGAAACAGGGCATCATTCTGGTTGGGGGACTTGGCACAAGTCCCTACTTGTACGAACATCTCAAAGACAAGCATTCGACTTCCAATGTCTCAGAGATTTTACAGTCCGGAGGTATCAAGCCGTAAGCCCCTCTTCCTCTTTTCAGGCTCTCACATCAAGAGGCTTATGAGGGAAACAATCCAGCCGAACTGCTATTTGTCGCGGTGCCATCTACAAAGGTTTCCTCGAGAAACCCTCAGGAACTATTGTACCGCCCATTGAGGTCACTTCCACAGTATCTCGTTATAGCTACGGGATTAAATATGTGACCGAATATAACAAAGCGCAGCATCATCCAGAAGACAAAATGTGGGACGGAAGCCAGTGGCGCGCTCGTAACCAGATAAAATGGTACTTGAAAAGGGTCAGTGGGAACAATTTCAGCGCCCTTTCTCCTGGAACTGACTAAGATTCGATTTGTAGGGAGCCGTTGTGCCCAAGAGCCCTGTTCGTTATTCGTTCTACGAGTATATCAAAGACGCGGATGATTTTGACGGCACACTCAACATAACACTATGGGTATGCGAGGAGCTCGATCCGCCAGACCGGGAAGATTTTCGAGTGAATGCCAAATGCAAATTTCAGTTGATTGTCACGACCCCATATTCAGAGCTACCTGATTGCAGGACCGCCGACGGTACCATGGTCAAGAAGCTGGGCTATGAGATTGGAATGATTCCATCGGGGGCGTCTTTGGGCTTTGCAGTATACATGGATGGCAAGGAACTGATGAGTCAGAACACAACTTACACAAGTGTTCGGTTCTAATGGGATGTCAACAACTTTTTGGTCATGTGTGAGGACGCGCGACAGGGGTTTTCTTTACGCTTTTCCTATGCTGAAATATCACCGTTTGTTCTTTTTTCTTTTTTTTTCCGAGCTCGACCTTCACTATGCAGGGAAGCTGTACGTAATTATTTATTTATCCAGCCTTTGTTTCACCTATGGCCCACGTCAAATAGAAATCTGAGCTCCGCAAATGTAAGGTATGGTAACCGCATTGCATTTTGGGGTCAGCGGAAGTTAAAGTACGACATCCAAAGTTGAAGCATATGCCTACCACGGTCTCAACCCTCGATCAACTAGAAGATGGGGCTCGTGGGTTGCGCACCTCGGTTGAGAGCGATTCATAGCCACACGGGCGGTCGAGGCCATCGTGAGATAGTATAAGCCAACCATGGTTCTCAATGAGCACATTCAGAACTATCTAGGGAGAAAAGGACAACCGGACCAAAGCAGTTGTCAAGCTTTTGACACCCAACTTGGCACCGTCCATGTCTTCTGCGTCCCGGGCCACTTCCGTACACTCTCTGGATGATTGAATCGCTCAATTTGGAAAGTGCGCCGGGTGCGAGGAATCAGGGGAACCCGAGAATTGTTTCTTGAACAGTCCATCTCAGTTTATATCAGGTCATGTCTGAACTCAAATGCCGCATATTTCCATATCTAGAAAGTTCCGGCAAAATCCCGAACGGAAAGAGATGATCATCTCGTCTGCCAGACTGTGGAGGACCCTCGAAGTCACCCCGGCGCAGTAACCTTCCCCGCCCTGAAGTCCGGACGTGACGATTCCCGACCAGCACGCTTCAAGAAACATCAGACCAGAAAGTTGAACCAACTCTGGGGCTTCTCAAATCAGAGCAAAGGGACCCTTGAGCAGTATGAACAAGACGTGACAAATGCGAGTCCGAGTACATGAGTCACTCGGACTCCCAACCCCTCGGCCGACCACGGTGGGCGAACCACTTCCAGGCTCGTGAAGAGACGCATACTGTCGTGGTGAGCATCGACAGACCAAACATCGAGTGAAGTGTGTCACGTCTCGCCAATCGGATTGGCGTTACCGAGCTGACCACCAAGTGCCCTTGCACTGGACTCTGACACCCTTCAAGCCAAGCAAACGCCATCCATCCGACGAACCGACTGGAGCCATCCGCTGGCCTGGCCACCCTCTACGATGATGACAGATTCAGTCATTCATGCAGCCATCGGTACAAGCTTAACCTTTCTCCCCTCTTACTCTCACCTTCAGCCACCCCCGTCCTGGCATCAGATTGGTGACAGGACCTTAGCCGCGCTCAGGCACGGACCCCGGCCGTCAGAGGCGAGACTTGACATTTGACACGGCATTTGTCAACGAGATGGACCATCCACCGCACTCGGATAGGACAGATGCAGACAGTGACAGATGATTGGCAGCTTGTCTGCGCGGCTGTTTGCATGGAAAGACAATAACCGAGGTGCTCATCGAGTTCTCCTCCCCCCTCTCACGTGCACCATTCTCTCTCGACGTGCGCACGCGCAATGACACTGACTGCCGCACTAGCGCCCTCCCGCCATCGACAACCTGCGTTTGTGAGAAGTATGTTCGAGCTGCCCTCTTAGGAGCTAGGGGCAGCAAGGCGCATGTACGGACGGAACACCCCGAGTAGTAGCTCGGTATTTAGCGTTCCCGCACCAGCTTTGGGGGTTCCTGCAGGAGAGAAGTCAACGCATCTGCGCCACGAACCAGACCAAAAGACTGACGAACTGGTTGGTAAAGTCTGTCGATCTGTCTATACGCAGGTCATCTGGGTGGCGTTCTAGAGGCTATCGGATCGCGGGGAGCAGGCATCAACATCCAACACAAATATCTGGATGTTGGTTGCAACCGCATCAACATCCTAGCAGGTGTCAAGCTTCCCCAACCTGTCCCGGCAACGTCTCGGGACTAACCTCCCGCGGGCGATTTACAAATAGCGGAAGCCAGTATCTTGACAGATTGGTGCCATCCGAAATGCAGATGTTGCGGTACCAGCTTCAGTTCTTGGGATCGTTGGTCCATCATGAACGCACACGCCGCACCAAGTGAACACCAAGAAAGCTTATGACCCCCAAAAATAGAAGGGATAACCCTTCTGGGAAAAGTAGGGGCCAGGCGGCTCTCACCCAGACCACAAAGCTTATTGAAGAGTGTGGTTCATCATGTTGGGAGAAATTTGACGTTTCCCATTCAAGGTCCGTGGCTTGCTGTTTTGTTTCGTCTGATGGCCGCCAAGCTATGATTCCCAATGTCAATGACCGAGCCGCGCACCGCACGGCACGCGTTTCAAGGGAGATGGGCACCGGTTCTCGGCCGCAGAGCCACACACACAACCTCCCAAGCCGGAACACGAACCCGGGAGATGTCGAGCTGCAGCAGTTTGAGGCGAAGATTCTGACATTTTGTTCCTGCGATGGCGACTCTGACTGTTCGAGGTACACGGCTTTGCGCCGCAGCTACACTGCACGTGGGTGCGACGAATCGTACGGTGTCTGGTGTCTCTTACCGTCGTGAGGTATTGGAAGCAGCTCGGATGAAGGAAGCTGCGTCAAATCATGTAGGCCGCGGGAAGCAGACTCATTCGCGGCGTTCGCGGCAGAGTCGAAGAAGTCGTATAATAAGGACATGAAGTTCTGGTCTCAATCAGTCTTTCTTCCTCCCATCTCATCAGCATCTACAGCTTCTTACCTTCCAAAGCACCTTCTAGATACCAAAGCATTCGCTTCAACAATACTCGAAAAGCCTTCGCTTAACAACACAACAAACAAATCACAATGCATTTCACCAACGTCTTCGTCCAGGCTCTCATTGCCGGCACTGCCATCGCTGCTCCCGCTTCCCTCGTCAGCAAACGTCAACTCCAGACCATCCAGGGTGCTCTTACCAACGTCCAGGACTCTCTTGGCAACCTTGACACCGCCGTCAAGGTAAGCATCATCATCGTCTGTTGTGTTCATCCAGACTAACAGTCTCTAGGCACTCTCCGCCTCTGACCCCAACTCTGCCGCCAACCTCCTCGACGCCTCCAACAAGGTCCAGACTAGCTTGAAGCAGGGTACCCAACAAATCCAGGGCGCCCAGGAGCTCTCCCTTACCGATGCCCTCACTCTTCAGCAGTCCGCTGGCGGCCTGACCACCGCCGTCCAGACCGCCGTCACCGACCTGACCAACAAGAAGCCTGAGCTTGACAAGCTCGGTGCCACCTCTGTCGCCGTTGACCAGCTCAAGCAGCAGAAGGCTGTTGCCGGTGACTTCAGCACCGCCGTTGTCTCCAAGGTCCCCGCCATCGGACAGAGCATCGCCCAGCAGTCCGTTGACCAGATCAACCAGTCCCTCGACGGTGGTATCCAGGCCCTGTCTGCTGGTGGTGCTCAGCAGGGTGGTGCCGGCGGCGCTGCTGCTCCCGCTGCCCCTGCCGCCCCCGCCGCCCCCGCTGCTGGCAACGAGGCTGCTACCAACAACGCCGACTTCAAGACCGAGGTCATGCCCCAGTAAGCGAGACGTCTGGTTGATGGGTGGTAGTTCAGAATTTTCATTGTTAGCGGTCAGACGACTATATGAGAACGTCCAGTGTTAGCGTATTTTTGTTTTCTATCATAGGTAGTTGATGGCAAGTCAGCTGAGCTGCCGGAGCAGCTGTGCTGCAGCCTGTATGAGTATAAGAGGCATTTGAACCTATCCAGCTTTTCCCATCAAGTGCGTGATTTTTTAATTGATTGTGTTTGTCTGAGTAGTTTCGCGATTGACATGTTTGACTTTGGGTCATAAGACCGCAAATATGAAGTTGGCTCTTTAGAAGGATTCGAAGCATGATGGTTCTGTCCTCAAACTTCTTTTAATCGTCTTGAAAACTTTGACATGCTGTGAATAGAGATGGATAAGGAGGTGAAATTTGAAGTCTTGCGTCGACTCGGGCTCACGCCCCTACTACCGAGCCTGTTCTTCCATACAGATCAATGTCTGATCCTTCTGAGTCACGCAGCATCATGCTGTATTGTTGTGAGTCGTTTGTTTCGCTAATCGATCCTTTCCGTCCTCTCATGTTCCGGAATCGGTTCATATCGAAGATGATTTCGGCTACTAAGACGGTGGAAGTCCCTGGCATGTGCTGAAGTGGGGTAGGGCGCCTACCTAGCTAGAAACCACGCGTACGTAAGCAGTGCGCATACATATTTAACGCCCACGCGCGTATGCAGATTAGCAGCGTTCTTCTTAGAAATCAACATCTTGCAGCGGTCCTTTTACCGCGCCCTGCATTTTGTTCCTACACACAACCACCCCCCATTTCAATGGTGATTTCGCCCGGACTTGGATTACCCGCTCGCAACAGGTTATACAGCCTCTTGCTGGGATCGAGGAGTAATAACGTCGTCAATTGTGTAGCCTAGCGGGTTAGAGCGTACGATCTCTTTATTGAGATCGAAAGCTTTTGCGTTCAAATCCGACTTTTTGCTTCTTTTTTTTGGGTTGTGCGTACGAAGCCCTACGCAAGCCCTCCACGCCGTGCCCTCGTCGCCAGGCCTGCCTCGCCGCCGCCGCCGCCGCTGCTGCCGCCGCCGCCGCTGCTGCCGTTGCCGCCGCTGCTGCC